AGTCTTTGCAGCAAACATCTCAATACATCTTGCTTATTTCAGCAGCAAAGATAAATTTAGAATAGTGGATAAGCAAATGGATCAAGGAATAAATACTCATTTAGTAACAAACATGAATCAAGCCTCTTATGTAAAGGATCTGTTTTCACACTTGCCCCTTTATAATAATTTACCTTCTCCACAGAAGCCGCAGTGACTTCCTAAAAGACAAATCAGATCATAACATTACTGGGCTTAAAACCTTCCAAAGGCTTCCTATGGCCCTTGGAATAAGATCTGTACTTCTCATGTGCCCTTCAAAGTCTTCCATGAGCTGGCCTCTGCCTACTTCTTTACCCACTTTTCCCCTTAGTCATTCTCTGGCCCTGCTGTCTTTCTTTCAGCTCTGCAATATGCTATCATTTCTGTCTTACAACTTTTGCGTGAGCTGTCTCCTCTACTTAGAATGCTGTTTCCCCAGACTCATCCATGGCTGGTTTCAGCTCAATGTCACAGCCTCAGAACTTACCACCTTACATTTGTCTTGTTCTCATTCACTGCCTTTATCTTATTTTACTTAAGAGATTGGATAAGGTTTCATGGAGGTGGTGGCATTTTGTCTAGGTCTAATAGGATGTGGAAGAGTTTACTAGGCAGAAAATGTGAGAGAAATACATTCTAGGTGGAGAGAACTGCTCATGCCCAAGCAAAAGGATGTGAAAGAGCTCAGTATGTTTGGGAATAGCAAGTAAGAAGGTACGGCTAGGGCATTAAGTGTGTAGGGAAGAGTGAATGGCAGAGTGGCTGGAAAAGTAGGTTAGGACCAGACTGTGAAGGGATGTACACATCTGCATGTTAAGGAATTTTGCTTCATCCTAGTAATGGTGAGTTAGCAATGCTTTTAAAGTAAGGAAGTAACATGGTCAAATTTGAATTTTAGAACAATAAACTCTTGTAACAATGTAGTGGATGGCTTGGGGGAGAAAAAATAGACACATAGACTGCAGCTTTTTGTCCTAAGAGCCTGAAATTTGGGAACTTCCAGTTCAGATCCTAAGTTTATTTAATGATTTCTAACATATTTTGTTTCATCCTTCTGAACCAGTTCTCTTAGCCTCTCCACATGCAGCATTGCCTCTACACCTTTTGTTGAGTTAGTTGCTTTTTTCTTCGGTCTTTCTTAAGATATGGTGATCTGTCACACAGAGGATTTACGTGTAGGAAGGAGATGCAAATGCTTTCTCATCGATTTTTAATCTCCTTCTCAGTGATGCCTTGCCTTTTGCTGGCCTTTTTATTTAATGAATTTGTTTCATGAATTGGTTCTTGTGAGGCAACCTTAAGTCCTATGGATTGGATGACTTTTATTTTCTAGATTTTTCATCCGGGTGGTGGGGGCGGGGGCCGGGGGAGTCTATTTAACAGGCATTTATTCTGTCAGGCGCTGTGCATTGTCCTAGAAACTTAAAGATGAAGACTCTGCCCTCCAGAAAATCACAGTCTAGTAGGAGAAATCAAATAGTTTTTTAAAATAACATAAATGTTTATCAAGGAATATATTCCAGGACAGAAGAAGGCACAGCTATTTGTTATGGGCTACCAAAAAGGGTCAGAAAATCGTCCTCCCTTTTAAACTCTCTGAAAGTGTAATTCCCAACTCTTTTTTGCAGCATTTGAAAATATAAAATAATAAGAAGTTACAAGTCTGTAATTGTCTTTGAGCTCCTGTTCAATTTAAGCCATATCCTCTTAACTACTTTCTCATAATGCATTAGTTATTCTTAACTGCCCAAGAATTTGTGAACGTTTCTTTTTCTTTGCAGATTCTCCCACAGCTCTGGTCTGTTGACCTGTGGCAGTCCAAAATGATTTGTCTGCAAATAGCATTTTTAACTAAACATGTAAATCTCAGACAGTGGCATTACACTTAGTTTCTGCTTTGCTCTTATGGAACATAAGTCTTTTAAGACGAGCCTAGTAGCTCAGCATGAATTTCATGACCTGCATTTCTTAGTAGCTACTTAGCCTTTAGCATCTTTCTGCTTGATGAGTTGATAAAAGCTTGTCCTAGTTTCTTGAACCTGTTTTGTAGCAATAATTCCGACTGCATTTTTTCTTCCCTTATTGTTTTTTTTTTTTGAGGTTTAAAACTATTTAGTACATTTATGTTTGCTTTTCTAGTTTTCAATTCCAGGGAGGATTTTCTTCCCTATGAATCTCTCATAGGTCCTCTGCAGAGCCAGCAATGTCTATTAATTTTCTCTTTATAATTAGGAATTATAATCTGATAAGTGGATATCTCATCATATCCTCTCTCGTGGGTATTTTTCCTATTGTGTTGAGTTTGATGTTTCCATTCCTTAAATTGTAGTACTTGACTGTCACATCTCATTGCCCTTTCTCTGTTTTGATAAATTTTATATGATTTGCTTATTTTCAGGATTGGAAGTTGATTTATGACTTGCTGGTTTACGTGGATGATTATTTGTTTAGATAAAGTTTTTAGAAATATGTAATGATAATTTAGGAACCTGAAAAACCCGAGTAAACTGAAGGCTGGAATTGAATGTTTTTTTCCTTAACATTTAACAGGGTCACAGAAATGCACTTGACTTAAACAATTCTTGTGTAGTTCCTCTTTTCTTAAGACCCAATATTGTGTATCTTTCACTGAAAAACTTCCTCTGCCACTGACGTGTTGCCAAAATCTATTCATGTAATGTGTGGCAGAAGAGAAATCTAAAAGTGATGGCTCCTTCTTGGGAAAAACAAACACTGTGAAAGTCATCACTTCTGCTTAAAAAGCTTTTTAAAGATTTTCAAGCCACTCATTTATTGTTTGTTTGGTTTCAGGTTATAATGTATGCCTATTATAGAAAAATTTAACAATATAGAAAAGTATGAAGAAGAAAAATATAAACAGTAATTCTACTACCAATAAAAGGCTACCTACTATTTTTGTGCAACCCCAAATTTTCTTGTAACCTGCCTAGCAACCACCTGCCCCTTTCTAAGTCTTCCTCCTCAATGGACTGTTTAGGACATTAAGAGTGGAAGACTGACTTTAAATATAAGGGTCCTTAGGATTTTTATGGAAGGGATGGAGTTGTAGGAAAAACCTACAAATTGCTCCAGAGATGACATCTTGTTCTTATTTAGCTTTCTTTGAGTCATTAACAGTCAGGCGCCACTGGTGCTGAAACTTATCATTATTATAACCGCAAATGGGTTAATGCCCAAACAAAGCTATATTCTTGGGGCTGCTTCCCAGCTCCACCACACAGACCCCAACAGCAGCACCCTCCAAGTCCCAAGATAACGCTCCACAAATAAGAGGATGTCAAATGTTCAGCCTGGACTCAGAATTCTCTTCTTTTATCTGGAAACTTCCAGTTGCTGGCAGGGCAGAGCAAAAGGAAAAATAAATAAATAAAAACCAAGCCAACAAACCCTTTAAAAAGAGGCTGTGTGGTTTAGTGGTCAGACCACTAGCCTGGAGGTTGGGATCGCTGAAATCCAGTTCCAGCTCTCCCACTGACTGTCTGGATGATGCTACACAAGTCATTTTCCTGACATGTCCCTCAGTTTCCCTACTTAGAAAAGGGAGAAGTGCATTAGAATGTTTCTGCAAGGACAAATGAAATGATCTGGGAATATCTTCAGGTTGCTCGGAAACAAAATGAAATTATAATCCTTAATAATTACCATTCTATATACTTTATTAATAATATAATAAAAAGCCACAGGTGAAAGTTATGAATCTCCCATACCTTGAGGTACATGGGTTGGGAGGAGGCAGGGGTGGAGGCGAGGGTGGAGGAAGAAGGCAAATGTTTTTATCAGATTTGCAGATTCACATCAAATACCAAATTAGTAAATTTATTACTTCAAGGTAATAAATGCTGCTCTGAGTTTGGCTCTGTCCCTTTATCCTTACCGCAGCCAAACTCAGAGTGACTCACAGGAGCCTAGAAATGAGACGCATATACAATTTTAAGGGAAAGGGAGAATTAGGAGGTTTGAAGCTTCTGCTGGAGGAGGCTAAGAATAGATCACTCAGAACACAAAGAGAAGAACCTCCTCTTTCCTTTTCCTCCCAGTGTAGGTGGTCCACTGGTTTCCCAATCATTCCTTTGATAGAATGATTTTTGTTTTCTTTCTTTCTTTCCACAAAACCTCACCTTGTGTTGGGGAGAATTAACTAAAAAAGTGAGGACAGAGTGGCTTTTTCTACTAGGTTTGAACTGTGGCAAGTGCCACACACCACTAACCTGTGTTGGGAGTGGAGAGGAGCAAAAAGAGAAATATGCAGATATCTGGGAAGTCAAAAACCAATTAATGCTCTCCCCTCTTAAAGGAAAAGTGAGCAATTAGGCATATGAGGGGAAAACCCCAATAGGTGTTCTTGTTTGTGCATCCTGTCCCCTCAAGAAGTGAAGTTTCTCAGTAAGAAAAACAAAACAAAAACAAAACAAAAACACTTGGGAAGGGTACCAAAGAGCAAAGGATAAGAGTTGAAGGAGGGGCTATAAAGGTGGAGGAATTTTAGGGGAAATGTCAATGATATCATAGAGGACTTCATGAACACCTTACAGATGCCCAGCCTTGTCCTAGGCAGAAAAGACGCATCCCCGATCTCAAGGAGCAGTCAAGGTATACGCATTAGAAAGCACTTTGTAATAACTGAAGACAGACGGTAAATAATAGAGAGATAAAAATAGGCAACGGGATGTTAAATGTTTATGGGAATTTAAGGGTGGGAGCAATTATTGTGAATTAAGGTAACAGTTGTAAAAGCAGGAATAATTATGAAATTCAGAAATTGCGGATATACATTGAGGGCTGGCAATAATTTTTCGACACCGGGAAATATGATAGTTCTGCATCTCAAACTCCTCTAAAACCAACTCCTCAAGAAAGGGAGTCCAAAGAAACTACGACCGCTTCCGCTACCGGAACTAGTACGGCCAGCTTGGCGTTGCGATACGGAGGCTCTTTGCGTGACACCAGCTCTGCCTCCCGCCTCTCCTCCCGCCTCGTGGGTGCCATGGCAACGGCGGGAGCCAGAGACCTGGCTTCCGGAAGCCAGAGAGCTGGCGCTCTGGAGCTACCCCGGTCAAAGGATGCTGAGTCCGGAGCGCCTAGCCCTACCGGACTACGAGTATCTGGGTAGGCTCTTCCTTCAGCTTCGGGGAAGGAAAGAAGTGCAGACGAATTAGGCCAGGGTCTGGGGAGGAGGCGGGGGTAGGGTCTGAGTGGGAATGGGTAGGGTGGGCTAGGGAAGGGCGGGGAGCGGGGAGCGGTCCAGGGCCTGAACGTGTGAGGCCCAGTGAGGAGGAGAACAGTATCTGGGAGTAAAGAATGTCTAAAGTGTACAGGGTAGCGCTCAAGCAATGTGGATTGTGCTCAAAGTGAAATAGGTTGGAGTTGAGAATTGGGGGTCCTCTGGGGGTATTATTAATATGCTGCTAGTGGAGTAACCCTGGAACCTTGAAGTGCCACATCAGTCGTTCTGTGAGCAATCATTGAACCGTTATAGCGGCAGCTAACATTTTTGAGCGTTTCTTTTACAAGAGACACTATGCTAACTAAGCATTTTGCATGGATTCTTTATTGAATCATCACAACAGCCCTAGGAGGAAACTCTGTTTTTCTTCCATTTTGCAGACAGAGAAACTGAGGCTGAAGAGATAACTTGCACAAATAAGGCCACACAGCTAGAAAATGGTAGAGCTAGGATCAGAACTTAATCTGTCCACTCCTGAGCCTGATCTTTTTACCACTTTGGCTGTGGCTGTATTACTTTACACACACTGTAGCACCTTCAGCGTGTAAAGCATTTACTGAATGAAAAAAAGAACTTTTACATATACATGTAAGTATACACACACATTTAAAAAATTAATAGACTATTTTTTATAGCAATTTTAAGTTTATAGTAAATCAAGCAGATATTATAGAGTGCTCCCATATACTCTCTCTCCCTCCCACTCAGAGATCCCCCTGCTATTAACATCTTGTTGAGGGGAAGTATAGATCAGTGGTAGAGTGCGTGCTTAGCATGCCTGAGGTCCTGGGTTCAATCCCCAGTACTGCCAATAAAACAAAGAAACCTAATTACCTTCCCCTCCAAAAAACAAACAAACAAAAAAACCATCTTGTTACAACAGATAAACCAATACTGATATATTATTATTAATGAAATCCACAGTTTACATTAGGGTTCACTCTTTGTGTTGTAGTTTTATGGGTTTTGACAAACATATAATGTCATGTATACACCATTATAGTGGCATGCAGAATAGTTTCACTGCCCTAAAAATCCTTTGTGCTGTATCTGTTCATCCTTCCCCTTGTTCCCCAACCATTGACAACCACTGATCTTTTTACTGTCTCCCAAGTTTTACTTTTCCAGAATGTCATATAGTTGGAGTAATACAGTATGTAACCTTTTCAGACTGGCTTTTTTTCACTAAGAAATACGCGTTTAAGGCCCCTTCATATCTTTTCCTGGCTCGATAGCTCATTTCTTTTTATCACTGAATAATATTCAATTGTATGGATGTATGCTACACATATTTTTAAATCTGCAAGACTTTTAATAGATTAAACCAGTGCCATAACAGTGGAAAGCCTCTATGCACTTTTTTAAAATGAAAAACAGTTCTAGTTTAAATTTTTGAATTAGTAATATGGAAACTAGATTACAAAATATAAAGAAGTTTACAGTGAGAAGTCTCCTCCAACCCATTTCCCTCCATCTGCCAGTTTCCATCCACCCTCAGCCTCCTACTAGTAACCACTATTACTGATTTCCTGTGTATCCTTCCAGAGTTTAGTTTATTATGTATATAAGGGAGAATACACTTTTCATTTACTATACCTCAGAGTGATTTCTGTATCAGTAGAGAGCTTTCTCATTCTTTTAAAAAATTTTTAGCAACATAAATAATAAACATAGTATTTAAATAATTTATTTGACTGGTTATTCATTGGTAGACATGTTGTTTTTAGCCTTTTGCTGTTACTGAAAATACCCCACTGAATAACCTGCAATTTTGTTCCATCACTAGTATAGCAGCAAGGATGAATTCCACAAAGGGAGATTGGTGGGTCAGTGTATATGCATTTTAAATATTGATAGATATTGCCAAATTGTCTTTCACAGAGGTTGTACCAATTTACACTGCCACCACCAAGGTACGTAAATGCCTGTTTCCGCATAATCTTTCCAACAAACAATATCAAACTCAAACCATCAGATATTTTCTACCTGTAAGTGACAAATAGCCCCAGGGTAGATTTAATGTGCATTTCTTTTATGAAGTTGAGCATCTTTTCACCAAGTTTAAAGGCTATTTGGTTTTTGAAAGGTGTATAGAGAGAGAGAGAGGAGAGGGAGGGAGAGAGAGATTAATTGACAACATTTATTAATCAGCCAAAATATCATTATGTCATAGATAATTTGGCATCCAATGAATAATAATAGTGTCTAACAATGTCTAGACTTTTGCTAAGGATTTTATGTATTTTGTTTACCCAGTACTAATGAATCTATGAAGTTTTGAAAAGCTTAGTCCATTGTTCAGTTCCTTGAATGTTTGCCTTTTTGACATATTTAAGTTATATGCCTCGAAGGCTTGACATATTTAATATATTGATGCTTTGGTGAGTAGAAGTTGGTGGTTCCTCCGTAAGTGGCTTTTTCAGGAAGACTAATCCAGTGGCAATGTTGAAAACGAATCTCTAAACAGAATCAGAGTTTCAGATTGATTGAAAAAGCTTTAGTGTCTAGTCATTTACCAAATTTTTGAACTCTGGACAAATTGCTTCATCAGATTCTGTTGCACATTTAAGTGTCTTAACTTTCTGTCCCAGTCACTGTCTGGACATTCATACTGCCCTAAGCAGGGTCGTACTGCTCACTGGCTTCCTCATGGTTCGTCAAACCACACAACTCTGCTGAAATGCCTTTGTCTTTAGTTGAGAACAACCCTACCCACCACAGTTTGGTCTCTTTTAGAAGCACGTTGTTACTGTTTTGAAGCATTCACCTTCCATTTAATGACCACTGAAAATCACCCCACATAGATTAATGAAATTTTTTTTGCAGGGGGAGGTAATTAGTAGTTTAATGAAATATTTTCTGATTTGAAAACTTAAATTCCTGTGGAGGTTTTCTGGCTTTTCTTTTCTTTTTCCTTTCTTCTCTTTCCCTCCTCCCCTTCCCTCCCTCCCCCTCTTCTTCTTTTTAGCAAATTATAGTCACTGACATGTGTAGACCTAGCGAAGAGAGTACATATAGAAAAAAGAAAGTTTCAGACACAGGAAAGCTGTAGGTATTCAGTGCAACAGAAAAGTGAAAGCTCAATATCCCTTGTAAGTATCTCTGGAGACCTCTTTTTAGTATTATGGTATAAATTGCAGGGATACCTATTCAGTGAATATCTGCAGATTTCCCTTTCTACCTGCTAGCCAGGGCTTATATTTGCCTTTTTGACCACTAGTGAAAAAAACAATCTTTCATCTTGTTGGGTAAACTGATCCATTCCCCACTGACTTTGTGGATTAGGAACCTGTAATCATGGCCTGGAACAGTTTGGGATCTTAAGATCATCATTACAGAATCAGCTGAATGATGTTCATGCCTTCAGTCATCAGAATGGAGTGATAGAAACTGTGTTAATGCCCAGGCCTGAATAGAGAGAGTCTGGCAAGGAGATGAAATAACTACAGAGCCATTGAACAGTTTCTAGTCTTATGAAAGCTACTTATGGGAAGCTTCTCCCAGAGGCTGAGGTGTGTCTGTGTGTCTGGTTGGGTGTGGAGAGCTCTCCAGAGCCGAAGGGCAGCCTGTTCTGGTCCCAGGTTTGCAAAACACACCACCTACATGCTGACCTGAGTATAAGCATGAGGGTGTGAGGTTTATTATTTTACCCCACCTAATATGGTGAGGTGCATGCTTTCTCATGCTCCAATTTGCCTCTTCTGTTTCTGTGGAAACTGCTTATTCTCACTAAGGTTGGTAGTGGATTGGCATAATAGATAACTCTAGGAAATCAGAGTCTTCTTTGGAGACTGTACTTTTAGAGGAATCACGGTAAACTGGATAGTTATTTTTAAGCTATAGTTTTTGAGCACTTCATATATACCTAGCACTGTGCCTTCACGCATTGAATCTTCACAGCCACCGTATAAGGTAGGTATTATTATTAGTCCTATTTAGTAGTTATTAATAGTATCTCCTCATTTTACAAATAAAGAAACTGGGGCTTGGAAAGGATAACTGATTTGTGCAAAGCCACATAGGTGATGATGCATAGCAAAGAAGGGATTCAAACCCAGGTTTATCAGATTCCATTCTTGTTTTTCCTTCTCTACCAAGGAGATAAAAATAAACAAACCAAAACATCTGCTGCCCACAAAGGGCAGTGAATTTTGCTTCCCTTTTAAGAATGGAGCTCTTAAACGTTTCATTAGTTGCAAATAAGTTTCCTGAGAACAGGAATTATATCTCACTCATCATTGTATATCTGCCTTTCACAATATAGGCATGTATACATACATATGTGTTAAACTGAATATGAATAATCTGACTTCAGAGTACCCCAAATGTGAGCCACTAACAACAATAACTAAGACTTATTAAGCACTTACTATGTACCAGGTAACATTTTAAGTGTTTTACATATATAAATGCACATGAAAATAGTTTCAGTTTTTATCTCCATTTCACATCTGAGGAAATTGCAGCACAAAAGTGTTAAATTACTAGTTAGTAAGTCCTGGAGGCAGGATTCTAATCCAGCAGCCTGACTGCAGAATCCACATTGTTAAACTCCATGCTATGAATACCCCGAGCAGCTCCAAAAATGAGGCTCCAACTATTGCATAGACCTGCATGCAAAAGTTACATGGATTTTGCAGTAAGTACAGGTGACTCCAGGGGCTTAATTTAACATTTCTACCAGGAGGGGGCATCCTAGGAACCAGGATGAATTAGGGAATAGTAAAATTCCAGTTCTCTCTTGCCACTGGACTCATCTCTCAAAGGCAGGCAGCAAGGAAGATACCTTCTAAAAAGAAGCCACTTAGGAGAGTTTTAATGACAATAATCTTTGTACTTTGGGTAGCTGTGTGACCTTGAATAAGTTACTTAACCTCTCTGT